CCCGGGGTGTTGTGCATGTCGACAAGGAGATGTAGTATTGTCAGCGCAACAAGAGCTGATCAGAAAGAGAAGAGAGGAAGTGACCAAGGCTGAGGCAGGAAGAGTGTTTTCCAAGATTGTTGCGGCGTTTTGACATGTGCCAACGTTGTTGTGGTGCAGAAGATGAGTAGTGGTTTCTGGGCAGGCAGGTGGCATGTTGCGTATGTACCCTAAATAGATGGATACGCAGATGGATGGAGGTGGTGGCCATGCGATTGCCGATGGATGGATGCAGGGATCTCGTATGGCGACGAGCTTATTTGCAGCTGTCAGCAACATTAGACGAGTCTTGCTTGCACTTGCTCCCTGCACCGCCACGGAGCCGCCGACGGTCGTAATCATCGACGCTCTCGAACAAGCCTCCGCGGGTCCGACGCATGCTTGTTGCCCTTTGTTCGCTCGCACTCGCTCCTCACGCTTTAGCCCAGGCCCGTTTGCGCATTGCGCCCGGGACGGCGCGCACATCCATCACGCCCTCAGCACTCGTACGTCGCGCGTCGCCCGTCGCCCCAGCACCAATGCTCTCTTTGAATTGCTACTCTACTACGCACATCACACGCAGTCTGCGTTACCCGCGCTGCCCCTCGCTTCATGGGCCCTCGCCTCGCCTCGCCTCGACCTGCCCCTCGCAGGCCCCGGCAGCCACTGCGCCCCCATGCCATCGCCCGCCCTCCCTATTCCCCGTCGTCGCTCGCCCGCCCAGCTCCCATCCAATATTCCACCCGTCTGACGCCTTGGCCCTAGTCGACATTCATATTCGTTTCTTTCCTTCTTCCTTTTTAGACGCCGCCTCCGTTTTGCTTCTGCTCTGCTCTCCCCCCGACTCGCGCTTCCAGACTCGCGCCCGACACACATCGCCCTCCCTCGGATCCCATTCCAGACCATTACCCTCCCGTCTGCGCCCTCCAACCGTGCGCTCTTGCCTCGACTTGTTACCAATCCACCCCGACATCCAAAAACTCACTCCAAACCCACACCCACAACAACCACGCCCACAACCACAAAAGTGGAGGGGTTCAAGTAGTCGCTTCGCTGCACGCCCTACTCCAGGGTCGTGGTGGCCTCACGCCCAGCAGCCCCCCTGCACAGCGACCATCCTCGAACCGGCTCTGTGCGCAACAGCAGCGGCACCATGGCAGACACTGCTACGCCCCCTTCCAACAACGGCTCTCCCACCAACAAGACGCTGCCCACTAGGAAACGAGCGAGCGATGCCACTGTCGACGACAAACCAAAGCGCACGCGCACCGGCTGCTTGACATGCAGAGAGCGTCATCTCAAATGCGACGAGACCAAGCCCACCTGCAACAACTGCCTCAAATCCCAGCGAGAATGCAATTGGGGCAAGAAGCTCAACTTTCTCGACACCACCTGCGAGCGAAACGCATATCTGATCCCCCAGGGCATCGACTATCAGGTTGCCTTCATGGACGAATCTCGCACAATCGCCTCCGAATACGTCGGTGGCCGAGAAATGTATCCTGTTGAGGAAATGGAGTCTCACATGCCCATGGCCGACAATGCCTTTGGCATGGCCCCACCCCCTGCGTCGCGTCAACACCTCCCGCCAATGCAAGGCATCGCCCATGACTCGTACCAACAAGCACAACTCAACTACAACCTGGATCAGCACCGCACACAGCATCAACACGGACGCACAAGTGAGCTCATCCACAATTTTCGATAAGAAAAATCCCGTTGCTAACTTGTATAGTATCCAATTACTCAAGCGGCCCAACTCCTTCCTCATACACCATGGAACACTCGGTTAGCCCAGGTCCCCTTCCCACGCGCGACTATCTAAAAAGTCAAGAGGAAGTACTGTACATGCAAGTCTTTGTTGAGGAAATTGGTATCTGGATGGATAGCATGGATGCACATAAGCACTTTTCACGTCTATTGCCCTTCCACGCCCTCAACGAACCCATGTTGCTGCATGCTTTTCTTGCATGTGGTGCACGACATCTGGCCCTTGTCAACCCAAAGTACAGTGAGGAAAAGGCCCTGCATTACTATGATGTAGCCACACGCGACCTACTGCATTCCCTGCAGAACCCCGACCGTGACACCGTTCTGTGTGCGACCACTGCTGTCATTCTGAACGTATACGAAATCATGGCTGAGCGCGCGTTACAACGCATGAACCACATTGCTGGTGCCCGCGCCTTGATCAAAGAGTGCCGCTGGAATGCTAGATCAACAGGCATTGGCGCAGCATGTTTCTGGCTCAACGTAGGCATGGAGATTCTGAGTTGTTTGCACTTCAACTGGCAAGTCGCGTGGGATCCAGACGACTGGGGCATCGAAATGGACTTTACCCCAGAAACTGAATCGGGAAGAGAAGAAGTCTGGACACACCGGATTTTGTACGTTGTCGCTAGGATATGCAACTTTCGCGCCTCAATACCACGCAACCAAGATATTGCCAGGCAAACATTGCACGACCGCCACAACGAATGGCTGCGGCTCAAGGAAATGACCGACAGATGGAATGAAAATATCCCCAGGACTATGCACCCAATGACTTACCTATACCCTGGACAGACCATTTCCGGCTCCGCATTTCCAGAAGTTTGGTTGATTAAACGAGCATCCATCATCGCGCGCCTATTTTACCACACGTCCTTGGTATTGTTAGCCCAAACCAACCCTGTACAAGCAGCCAGCGAACCGGAAATGTGGGCTATGCTCGAGCAGAATTCAAAGTTCATCTGCGGTATTAGCGCACATGTCAAAGATCGTGGCGTCGCTAGCGTGGCGCTAAGATCACTTGCCATTGCTGCCGAGCCTTTGACCGACCGCCGCGAGCAAGAAGAGGTTCTCCAAATCTTTGATAAGATCAGACAGGAGACGGGATGGCGCGTGGGCTTTGTCAATACAGAGTTGAAACAAAAATGGGGCTGGGATACACCACAGACCCAAGACCAATCGCAACAACAGCCGCTGCCGCCGCCTCAGCAACAGCAGCAACAACTCAACGGCCAGATGCAAGACGGCAACGTCATGTATCAACAGCAACCGCAAATGGTAGTTCAGCAAATGTCCCAGGTCTCTCTGGCGCCCGTGCCCGCCCCGGCTCCCGCCCCAGCACCTCGAAGGCCAACAGGCTTTGGCAATCCTCTTCTTGTCGCAGACTTTAGTATGCCGCAACATCCTTACCAGGCACATTATGTTCCAGCCAACATCGTCCAACAGCAGCAACCCCCGACACTTCTTCAGCCGCCCCTCAACGGAGTCAACGGCTACGGCGCTCATTTCTTCTAATACATTCTTGCCGTCCCCATACGCTGCGATTGCGCCTCATCATCTCTCTTCATACACCAGTGTATTAGTGTCACTCCATTACTTCATGAAAGTTTTTTGCGTGTACAAAAAGCGGCTAAAAACGTACAAAGGCGGCATTGTTTGCGGTATCTTCTTTTGGTTCTACACGTCTACTTAGCGGCGTCTGTCGAGGACAGATGTTTACTTCTTTCCGTTGTAACGACATAACGAGTAGATTTGTATGGGATTAATTCGATTGCTCATGGAGCTGGCCTTGGGACTATTGACGTTTTTTGGCTCTTTGACATTTGGTTGGGTTAGAAGTTTAACCTGGAGATGTTTCTTTTTCTTGTAAATATACACATATACCTTTGTTTACACCTATTATGGTGTGCAAATTCAAAGAGAGATGCTAGGTAGATAGAAATACGCATCCCATTGACAAGTCCCGTTCTTGGCTAGCTTGTCCCCTCTTCTTTTCCACGTCTTTGTCGTGTCTTTCCATCCAGACTCGTCCCGCTTGATTGTCCTGACAGCACGTATAGTTTAGTGCCATGTGACCATCAGCAGCTCACTGATAGCTACAACATAAAGCAACCATCAAGCATAATCGAATACCTACCATGAACGCGGCATGTTCCTTCCATTGGACCAGTCTCGTAGGATTGACTTGGTTCATCCAGCATTGTCATACAAATGCAGCTGTTCAGGGTCGTAGCGGAGAGCATGCTTTCTTGCCCTCTAACGTAAGGGTAAGAACGCTGACAACGACCGTCATACACCGTTGTTTCCTCATTCGTACCCCCTTGTTTGTTTCCTGCCGAACACCACACCCACTTTCACACTATCCACTCGCCCATCTCTCTTCCGTTACACATCTTATCCATGTCCTCCACATACGACTTCATCAGATGCAGCATCCACCCGGATTGAATCGACCTCGTACTCCCCCCCCCCCCCCCCATCGCTCCGCCAGCGAATGCACTTGCTTGCTGAGCTCAAGTACTCTATACACTGCCTAGTTGCAGCTTCACCCAGCACCACATGCGTTGAAGTAGAGCACGTAGCCCCAGCAGCAGTACTAGCGTACGAGAACTGGAGACAAGTGGGCTTAGCCTCGTAAGCAGCTTTGCAAGACTCAAAAGATGACGACGACGACGTAGAACAACGAGGATATCGTCTGTTATCGGTAGCTTGGGTCATTGTATCTGCGGCTCTAGTAATGACGTCTGATGCTGCCGCGGTAAACAGAATTTGTACACAAAGCATAGCACCAGTACAACCCACAATACCCCTCTTATCCGCTTACTACACTTGCGACCTCCCACCGGCGACCGCAATCTAGGCGTGTACCTTCCCTCCTCTTTCCACCTTTTCTATCCAATCGTCTTCGCGCTGCATGTTAGGGACTGAGCGTAATATCAAGAAAAGAACGACGTCAACAAACAAAATGCAAGAATACCATATAAGAGTCAAGATCGACGCAAAATAAAAAGAGAGCTTTATATTTTTCTTCTCATTTCTTTCTTCCCTTCATCCAAGTGCCCAAAACTTATGAAGGTTACTCTCCCCCATCAAAAAAACCTTGACTGTTCCACACACAGAGAACACCCCACCCTCTGACATGCGTTTTTTTTTGCCCAGACGGGCCATGAATCCTTTTTGGTTTGGTCTGCATCCCGTCTCACGTTGCTGGATCAAGCGGGGTCGGTTTGTATTGGCAATAATCTTTTTAGGTTTGACTCTTGGCTAGGTACAGGGCTGCGGAAGAGATAATAGCTATGGTGTAAGCACAGTACAGGGGGGTGACATTTGAATGATTCGTCGTCAATCTGTGTTTGGTTGCAATGGCCTTGGAGAGATAGATGCGTGCAGGTCGATGTTTTCATGTTCATATTGAAGATTAGGAGAAAGAGAGAAAAAAAAGGAGCATAGACGTGTGTATCTAGTCTTTGTCGGTTGTAAGTAGTCTTGGTTCTGTTGCATCGTCATTGGAACGCCGAGATTGTGCTTACGTCTGGGCGTACTAACAATAGTAGTACGTCACCAGCGAACTACTGAGCCGAAATTACTGCGAGCAATGCGCAAATCACAATGTGAGAATCACAACTGTTTATCGTCACTATCACTATGCTTGAGTACTGCACTGCCATACAAGCCTGAAGTTAATCAAATATAGGAACGTTTTTCATTCATTATCATAAGCTCAATATATACAGTACACTTGCTCAATAATCGCCTTCCTAGCACCCTTCACACGCTTACTTGGATGTGTCGAGAACATAGCGTCCGACTACGGCACCCTGGTGCATCTTGTCATAGACCATCTGCAGTTCAGACAGTCCAACAATCTTGTATGGAGCCTTGATCAAGCCACGACGGAAGAACTCAATCGCCTCTGAGCTGTCCTTGCGGTTACCAACATACGATCCCTGGATCCTGATCATCTTGATAACGGTCTCGAAGACGGGTGCCTTGAGATAAGCACCGGCAGGAAGACCAATGCAGATGACGGTACCGCGTGGCCGGACGTATTCAGCAGCCTGTTGGAATGGCTTCTCGTTGACAGCAACAAGAATGACAACATGAGGGCCAAGACCATCCGGTGTTGCCTTTTGGACGTCGGCGACAAGGTTCTTTGATGTGGCAAAGTCGACGAATGCTTCGGCACCAAGCTCGCCAGTGCACATCTTCTTCTTCTCCTCACCAGAGTCAATGGCAATTGTTCGTACGCCCATGGCCTTTGCGTATTGGCAGGCGAGTGAACCAAGACCACCTCCGGCACCGACAATGGCAGCGAATTGGCCAGGCTTGACACCAGACTCTTTCAAACCCTTGTAAACAGTAATACCGGCGCAGAGGACAGGGGCAATAGCAGCGAGATCACACTCCTTGGGAATGCGGGCAACGTGGGCAGCTTTGGCGATGCAGTATTGTTGGAAGGTGCCGTCGACAGTGTATCCAGAAAGAAGTGGTTTCGGGCAGAGGGGCTCGTCTGCTTGTTGGCAAAAGTCGCATGACAGGCAAGAACCGTTCAGCCATTTGACACCTGGGGAGAATTAGCAATTGTGAATTGGCAGTAAAAGTGAGAGAAATTAATCATACCGACATGGTCGCCAAGCTCAACGTCCTTGACAAGCTCTCCTCGTGCAACCACGACACCGGCACCTTCATGGCCACCGACAAGAGGCAGTTTGGTTGGCTTGTGGACGTTAGCACCTTCAACAACAAGGAGGACTGATCATACGTACCAATGGCCAGTCACCATTGACGGCGTGTAGATCGGTGTGGCAGACACCAGAGTATTTGATGTTGACAAGAACCTCATCTGGGCCGGGTTTCTGTACAGGGATCTTCTTGTACTCGACGGGGCCGCCGGTCTTTTCAATGACCTGTGCCCATTGCTCTTGAGGAATGCTGCTCATGGTGATGGAGGCGGTGGATTGGTGTGGAATTGAGTAGCTGGTGATGATGTGATTGTGTTGGATGACTACAGTGTCACAGAGGGTGCGAGCTTTATATACTCAGTAGTGAGGCAGTGAGGGCTCAAGGGTTCAACCCCACTCGGCAGCAAACGGATGACGCCAGGGTCTGGATACAAACGCGCCTTCACGGAAGGAGCTGTGTGTAGGATTGCGTCCGTTCACCCATGGCAGAGGCGAGTGTCTTGCTCGGCGCGCCGGAGATGGGCGATTGATGACTAGCCGACCCTATTGGCCCATTCTCACGAGGTACAAGTGGACAGTGGACCTGTTGGAGGGGTTGAGAGACCAAGATTGGATGGACTTGCGGATCATGATGCATCGGTTGAGTGGCAGCAGCAGTAGCGTGTGGTGCGAGGTTCCGAGGTCAGAGCAAAGTCAGCATGAGCAGACTTTAGCGCGTGTAAATCAGCCCAGGGACCAGGGCAAATGCAAGCCCGCGTCTGTTATGGTGTGAGGGGGGCTGAGAAGGGCGAGGTCTCGAGATGGAGGGGCGCTCCAACATCAAGCAGCTAGCTTCTTTTGGCCGAATATCTCCTGATACTTTCTACCCTCCGTCCACGGCCGCACCATACAAAAAAACTCGAGCGCAAAATTGTTCTGTCTTGCGATCCAATTCAGGTTCTAAAGAAATGCTCAGTAATTCGTTGAGCTCATAGTGGTCTTTCGATCGTATGCTTCCATGGACGGCCACAATCCGGTCCCTCCGTGACCATCTTCGCCTGACAGCTCCACTACCGATTCCGCGGGAGCCCATGTGAAAAGAAAATCGACATGAATCGAAGGGCTGAGCAGGCATTCCAACTGGGTCGGTCGAGCGCAAAGTTCAACGCTATTCACGGACAACGTGCGCAAGCTCTTCAGCCACACGTAGCCTTGCATACGTATGTTCCATTCCAGGAAGTACCACGTCGCCGCTGTCCAATGAGATCAGCCAATACTGCCTTCGGACAGTTCCACCGCATGCGGCTCCTGGTCTACCATGCGGGGGTGTTGAGGTCCGACTACCATGGTCGTAGTGCGGCCGCAATCGCGGGGTAGTACGCGGAACGCTGCCCACCGGCCTTTGCCAACGACTGTTCAAGGCTGCGGAGAAAAGGACATCAAGCGATTGACAAGGAACCGAGCATCGGTATCGACGGGGGACGGCCTGATTCCAAAAGATCTTCGAGGCCAGTCTTCGATCTTGCCTGCAAGCACAGCACTGTTGTTAGATGGAGAGGTTACGGTCATCTTGTCGTCTGCAGACGGCGCACACAAGGCCCCTCTTTATCTTCCTGTCTGCGTGAGAACCCTGATGTATACTTGACAACCTCTGTGACGTGATAGGGCCACTCTATGCTACGCGCTGGCATATGTTGAACATGGGCTATTCTTGGCCAAGAGCATCATACAACTCCCAACACCAACCTTACGTGCGCTAGACAACCAAACAACTGTTACCACAATCACGCATGACGACATACTGCAGCAGGCTGGGAAAAGCACAAGGACGATCAATAATCAAGGCTTGTATTACAGATACAAAGCTCCGTGTTACCGGAACTTTACAGTGGCATCATAGCCGACTCAAGGTCTCTATACCCCTTGTCGCTCCTCCCAAACCATATTTATTGCAATGCATGACCCGATCCAGACAAGATAGACCACAATGAATAGACGCCCAGCGCCAATGCTTCTACTGTACCATCACATCAGCAGCCTCGTTGTGCCCGTTGGCCGGCCTCTCGTCGGCGTCTTGCAACCCGAGAGGAAGGGAAGGAGGAAGATCCTTTCCGGCTGCCCGTGCCTTTGTCTCGGCCCATTGCCGTAAGCGCACTAGGCTCCTCATGCGAGATTCTCCGCGAGCCCCCATACTAGTGAGTATCGCTTCATTGACCTTGCTCGCAACATTTCTACGGAGCGACGGTTCCAACAACTCACTAAGCTCCCTCTGCAGAGTACCAGGGGCGGCAGGAAGAAATATAAGCAACGACATTGTAAGCTCAAGATCCCTCAGAAAATCAGGGTTTGTGGCTGCACGGGGAGCAAGCTGGGACGAAGCAAAGCTAAGCGCAGGCGTGATATCAGAAGAAGCAGATGATGTGCACACCCGGATGAGCTCGATAAGCTGTAACCTAAGTAGATCGAAGTGCAATGCTGGGTCTGTGTCTAAAATCTGGCTGGTGCATTAGCAAAGTTCAATGACAAATACGCCAGACGAGTAGATGTAGTTGCTTGCAATCATACTGAGGACTGAAGGTTTGATTATCATCAAAGAGATTCTGCGTGGTGCATGAAACTGGATCTAATCCTGCAAGGTGGTGGGAAGTACAAGTGGAAGTGTCGCATACCTGAGGGTTCAAATCATTGATCTTGGTGATAGCAGTGTCGATATCACCAGCATGAATAGCCCGACGTATTTCTACGCGGGATTGGATGGACTCCTCTTCAAGAGGAAGCTGGATGTTCGCTTCTTTTGCAAACTTTTCGGCAGCTCTAGGATAGCCTTCGCTAACGAGGTAGTCCATGATGACAAAGTTGATGTCCCTGCAGAAGCAGCGTTAGCATTGATGCGCCACATAGATACAGATACAGCAGCGCGCAATGCAAGCGCTACCACAAGATCAGAGATACAAGTTAACATGTTCTCCACATGTTGGTTCGGAGAGATTCCCAACTTATTTTGAAATCATCATTCGAAGGAGGTAGCGGAAGCGATGCGAACGGTGGATGACTTACGTCTTGGACGGTTTGACATCGTCGACCTTCCTCTGGAAAGGATGATGCTGGGTCGGCGTTGCCGCCGACACGGAAACTGTGGATGAGCTCTGCAGGGTGGTTAGAGAGTGGGACAGGTCGCAACAACGGGCGCAGTGTGAGTGTAGCTTACCATGGTGAAGCGAGACGCCCAGCAAGCCTCAACCGACGTCCATCAGTAAATGATACGAGCTGCCCGACCGTTGGCCGAGTGTGCTGGCGGTCACGCAAAGTTTTGCGTGTGGAGAGGAAGTTTGAGAGCACAGCTTCGTGAAAGAAGAAGACTGAGCTTGCGCGCTTGGCGAGACTAGTGCCGGTGGGTCCTTATGTAAGCTCGACACTAAGGTCAGAGCCACCCACTGCAGAAACCCATTCGTCTCAAGAACCCTGCATACCCTTTTGATATCTCCAGCATTCGCCGCAAGAGGTGGGATTTTGGTAGAACAAGGATACGCGGTGCTACTAGGCGTTCAGCACGATAAAATATTCTCAGATATGGCTTCAGTAGGCCGAAGAACGCACTACGAACCGCCATGGGGTAACGCAAGTATTATTGGAGTAGCTGGTAGTTCTGGCTCGGGCAAAACGTCTTTGGCAATGGCTATTGTCTCCTCCTTGAACTTGCCTTGGGTAGTCATCTTATCTATGGTTCGTTCCAGCCTTGTAAATTGGGTCACGTGCCCCACCCAGCTAAGGAACACTCCTTGTAGGACTCGTTCTACAAACCTCTTACGCCAGAGCAATCAGCGGCAGCATTTCGCAACGAGTTCGATTTTGATTCTCCCGACGCTATAGACTTCGACATTCTCGTTGACCGCCTAAAAGACATCAAGAATGGCAAGGTTGCTGAGGTACCAATCTACTCCTTCCAGAAGCACGCACGCCTCTCCAAAACCACAACAATCTACTCCCCGCATGTCATAATTCTGGAAGGCATATTCGCCCTACACGACCCACGGATAGTCGATCTCTTGGACCTCAAAATCTTTGCAGAAGCAGACGCTGATCTGTGTCTCTCACGCCGTCTTGTGCGAGATGTGAAAGAACGAGGCCGCGACATTGAAGGCTGTATCAAGCAGTGGTTCTCTTTTGTCAAGCCCAACTATTACAAATATGTTGCTCCCCAGCGAGAAATTGCAGACCTTATTATTCCAAGAGGTATCGAGAACAGGGTTGCCATTACTATGGTGAGCAATCAAGTTCGTCAGACGTTGCACAGTAAGAGTGTTCAGCATCAGTCAGAGCTCAGACGACTGGGCAAGATTGCAGAGGACAGCCCATTGAGTGAGAACGCTATCGTACTCAAGCAGACGAATCAGGTCAGGGGAATGCATACATTGCTGTTGAACCCTGAAACGTCGAGAGAGGACTTTGTATTCTACTTCGATCGCATGGTTGCACTGCTCGTCGAAACAGCAGTAGACTTTTTGCCGTTTGTATCGTATGAGGTCACAACACCCCAGAACACCACTTATCAGGGGTTGAGGAAGAATGCAGAAGTCAGTGCCGTAGTGGTGCTACGCGGTGGTAGTGCTTTCGAGACGGGTTTGCGGCGGACCATTCCCGATTGCAGGACCGGACGAGTACTGATACAGACAAACTACAGAACTGGAGAGCCAGAGCTCCATTATCGGGCGTTACCTGCCAACATTGCTGAGCATGGACTAGTCCTAGTCCTCGACCCCCAATTCTCCACGGGGGCAGCCGCCCTGATGGCGGTCAGAGTGCTTGTCGACCACGGCGTACCAGAAGCCAGTATAGTCTTTGTAACCTATACTGCGGGAAAGGTTGGACTGAACAGGGTCTTGAGTGTCTTTCCAGATATCAGGATTGTGGTTGCAAGACTGGGTAGCGATGAGGAGGCGCGATGGGTTGAGACAAAATATTTGGGCTGTTGAAGCGAGAGCACCAGACTGCAATGGCAAGGCGTTTGAAGTTACGCATTTTTTTGCTTGTAGATGATTTCATGCTGCGCTAGAACGTACATAGCCAACATGTCTTTGTCCGAACGCCATGTCTATCGCCAACGCCGATAAATGCAAGGTTAGCGTTGAAGCAACAACGCACCGCTATGTACAGTGGGTATCATAGAAAGTACTCCGTCGTCACTTCTTTTCCTTGCTGCTGCTGCTGCTCAGCCCGGTGGACATCGTTATCCGGACTGGCATCAAACACGTTGAAAAAGCGTTCACCCGTGTCGCTAACTTCGAGCACACTAGCCATGTTACCGCATCGGTAGCAGTAGTTGGGTGCACTCCAAACAGTACTTAGTCTGTCGTCGTAAAGAATCTGGTAGCCTTCTTGGCACAACTGATGCGCGCGCAGAATATGCGACATAGAGTTGACTTCCAAGAACTTTTTGACCACCTGAGCGCCAAATGTGTAGCCTGCTCCTCTAGGACTGAGGGAGAACTCGTCTCTTTCGGGATCTGGATCGCTCCATACAAGATCTGCCATGGGCCCTTCATGAGGGATTTCCCGGAAACGGTCGATGATCTTGATCTGATCGATGGAGTGTATTGAAGGCGACAAGCCACCATGCACGCAGAAGATTTGGTCATTAATGACTACGGAGAGCGTGAGAAAGTCGAACATGTCGGTAAAATAGTGCCAGACATTCGCATTGCCATATTTGCGTGAGCATTCGGTATAGAAGCCGTAGGACTGGGTGACACCGCGAGACTCGTGGTTGCCACGGATAAGGTGGACGCGGTGCGGATAGCGGAGTTTCAGACAGACAAGGAGCGATATAGTTTCGACAGAAAAGAGGCCACGATCGACGTAGTCGCCTGTTGAGCGTCAGTTCTGTCTCCAGAGGTCGCGTGCCCCCCTGTGAGGGGCAGACCAGGACTTACCCAAGAAGAGGTAGTTTGTGTCCGGACATGGTCCACCAATCTTGAATATCTCCATCATGTCAAAAAACTGGCCATGGATGTCACCGACGACAGTGACGGGCGCTCGAATGTGTACCACATTACTCTCCTTCATGAGCAACTCCTTGGTCTTTGCGCATATTGCCTCGATGACCGGCTCGGCCAGCAGTTCCTTCTTGGAAAGCCGAGATATGCATTCATCGAGGTCTACACTGGCTGCGCAGTGTTAGTCTGGGTGTGGCGAGCACGGTAACCATCACTAGTGACTGACGTACATGGTAGGCCGGGCATGGTGGTGTTGATGGCGTGGGTACAAGGGTGGCAGCATCCGCGGCTCAGTTCAGGGCGTGGAGTCTATACTGGTCGCTAGCAAATGTCTGTAGCGTACAATCATCCTCAGAGGTCCATCTGGAGGCGCGACACAGGCGATGGCGCAAAAGCGAGCAACTTGATATTGGGGGTGGCCAACTAGTCCTGTTCCCTGTCTAAGGTGCGGCGGCATCCCGCTTCGTGGCCCGAGCGCACAAAAAAACGTGACTACGACGGAGACTTCCCTCTTCCGCAACATCTGCTGAGCGTGTTTTTCAGAACCTACAAGGCACTTGGCTCTCTGGTGCCCGGAACTCTCTTTCCTTGTTATGCCTTATAGATCTGAGAGGATACTCCTTTGCGGCACTCTCAATTCGCCACTTACCTGCTATCGTGCTCTCAATACCTACTTCCAAGGGTTTCCCTCGCACCAGCAACTGGCCCTGTCTCGCTCTCCGTGCCCACTCACTTGCTCCTCCGCAGCGTCACATTGCCGTCGTTCATCCTACAAATCTCAACATTGCATACCAGGAGATACTGAATTGATTGCCCTTCCGTAAGCTTGGGCGTCTCTTTCGTCCTGGCTCGTGCGCTCAACCTGTCCAAAATTTGGACGCGCGCCTTATACTTTAAAATCTCTCCCTAATATCACCACCTACGCCGCCACCAACGGGCTCATCGGTCTCCATTAGTCTTTTACTCCACCAAAATCCCTCCATTCCCATAGTGGATTTTCATAGGTTGATTACATAGCGTGGTATGTCTTGGAACGGGCCCGTAGGGGGTGCGGCGCCTTTCCAGCAGCAACCATATGCAAATGGCCCACCCCCGTATGGTCAACAACCGCCCTATCAGTATGGACAACAACCAGGACAGCAGCCAAGATATGGCCAATATCAATCGGGGGCTTCCTATCCACCAAATGGCCCCCCTAATCGCGCTCCGCATGTGCAGTAGGTCTCACTCCCGATCTTAGCAAGCTGTTCATCACGTGCTCGTCGAATCTGTCTTTTTATGGTGTGCGTCATTTGTTCTGACTCCCTTTCAGGCCACCAAAGAAGAAGGGTAATCCAATAATCACCCGATATCCCCCTCCACCGGGCTATCGCGGACCAGCGCAGCCTCAGGGTCCATTCGGTACTAACAAATTCCCCAACTCATTCAAGTCGTCGCATCCAGGGCTTCCGCCATCGTCGGCACCTTCAAACTACCCGCAACAAAGTTATGCAACACCTCCTGCAAACCAAAGCTATTCTAACCAAAGCTATGGTCAGCAAGCGCACCAAGCACCAGGATTTCCACCGCCGTACCCTCAAACACAGAACAACTACCAATGGCCAAAACCAAGTTATCCTCCAAGTTCAGGCTATTCGCAAACTTCAGTTCACCCAACTGCTCAGCCTTATGCTTGTTCTCATAGCAACTACCAGGGCTACCCATCACAGCCTGCCACAGTTGACTCTGGTCATCCGCCCTATGGCAAAACTGGAGTATGGTCACAACAATATGCGCAAGCACCTTATCAGTCAAATCAACATGGTTCCTTCAGTGGACAAACCCACGGCCAGCCTGTGTTGGATCCTGAAGCCACACCCACCCCAGCAACCGCCCACCTCACCACTTCACAGCCTCCGCAGCAACCTGTTCAGCCCAGTAGTGTTGTAAGCGATGGAAGTATGAGCGACAGGCCCCAGTTGTTCTTGGCATGGGACGACTGGGATTTTGACTTCGATGGCGCGATCTGGCCCAAGAGCAATGAGCCCGTCGATCCTGCTCTCAGCCTTGGAGTCATCATCTGGCACCCCGCTAAGCAGGTTACTCGTGCACTGCCCTCTACTTTTGCCGAGGCTGAAGAAGACGCACTGAAGCCCACACCTGAGAAGCTCGACAATGGGGATTCGGTGTCCATGTACTTCACGGCCGATAATTCGCATGAAGCCTTCCTCAACGTAAGGCAGACCGACGATTGGGAAACTATCCAAGATGACCCTGTCTTTGTTGTTTTCACGGATGAAGATATGCAGAACAATCTAGTCACACTAGAAGACTGTATCGCGCAGCGGGATCGCCCTGACGAATCTGAGGATATGACAACGCATGATGGAGACATGGAGATGCGCGACGCCACATGGGACATTATGGATAACCTTGAGCAAGCACTTAGTACGACTCACGGAGGTTCAACGTCGAGCGCATCGAAAAGGGAGGCGGTGTCCCCCTTGCAAGGAAGTCAAGAGGATATCCTTGCGAAGTTGGGCGTGACTGGAGCCCCCAAGCCGCCGTCGAATGAACCGATACCTGTACCGTACTCTCCATCTGAATTACGGCAATCAGCGCTACCTGCCGAAAAGCCATCGGCTGCCCCTCCATCTGCTCAACCGACCCAGCGGGCACAGTCGTATGGTGGTTATCGTAACAATGAACCCAGATCTGCTCCTCCTCGTCCATATGGATCTATGTCTGCAGGCACCGGCTCCAAGCCACCCCCTCCCCCACCCGCTCTGGCCGAGCAGCGACATGATTCCTGGAATGCGCCTCAAAGCAATGACCACAGTTATGACAACTCCAGAGAAAGCCCTGCGCGCTCTGAGGGAAGCAATCGGACCATGGCTGGTTCTGATTTTGAGCCTGAAAGCCAGTGTAATGAGTTACAACAAGATGCGCCTGTTGTGCCATCCCTAGATCGAAGCGACAGCTCATTCTCTAGGAAGAGAAGTTACGAAGATGCTGATCAAGAACATGAGAAATTGCGCCAGCAAGACGACAACAGCAAGCGGAAGAGGCGTTCCCAGGTCGATGCCGCTTATAGGTAAGGCTTCTTGACATTAATGAGGTTCATCTCGCTTGTTTCTGGCAAATTCTTACTAATCTTGTAGTCGTCGGTGAGCACGCATTTACGAACCCAGCGCCTGGGCCTCATCCCCCATGATTATTCTTCGTCATACCTTGATTTACCTTCTACGCCATTTCTAACACCCATGGATCCTTTTTTCTATCTTCGTTTCTGCAACCACGGCCTTGTTCATGATCTACAAGAGCCCTTCGTTTTCCCTTCTCTCATACGTCAAGACCATTCACCTATCATATTTATTCTTCTGCAGACTTATTTTCAATTATCTACCACCCGATTCATGGCTTCATACTGAAATCTTATTCCGAAATGTCGATCAACAGTGTACACCAGAATGGGTCGTTCACGGGTACCGGCGTTCTTCGCGTTTCATTTGTTGTCTCGAACTTGTCCATTAACTCTCTGTTTTTACCATTATCATTATTATTACTATTACCATGATTATTACTGTCGTTTCTTATTCCAGGGTTATTCATTTCATGATTGTCTTCCACAATAATCCACCTCTGATTTCATTTGATCTGGCGGTCTGGGCTTCAAGCGTCCAGTCTCTGAACTCACTTGTTCTGTTTCACAGAATTCTTGTCCAGTTTACCGATTGTTCCGTTTAGTCTTCTTACGAATCTTTCTACGAATCCCCTGACTTTTGGTTTCTTGCAAGTCTCAGTTCTTTTATTTATTTCCTCTCCTCCGGTCACTTCCAAGCACGAGTATCTTGATATCATGATTGAGACATCTGCTTCTACTGCAATGGTCACTTGCAAGCACAATGACCAGGTATTCGGTACGTCGGAGCAAACGTACCTGGAGTGTACCAGCGTCAGCGATTACTCAATCGATATGCGATAGGTTGTTTAGGCACTGCCTGTTCGCGCAAAGAAACAATGCGCCAAATGAAAAGCCTAATACTTTGGCAAGAACGAGCGCTTTTTAGCCTCTACTGCAAGTAGCGCTTGAATTAGCGATTAAGTGCTTACAGGCAGCTTTGGGCATTGACGATGTAGCCCCACATGACTGCTTTTGCTATGCGTGTCGAATCTAAGGGCCGTATTCCTCCTCGGTTGTGGCGAAATTGTTGGTACGATTTCCCTTCAAGCGCTTTCAATAGTGTAGCGAGTAGGATGACGACATGACCATGATGATTTTGCAAGCTATTCTCTGTTCCGTCACACGGCTATCAATCATACAGTTGCGGAGATGCTAAAGTGACATGTTTGTAGCAGACAGAACAAAAAACTTGGTAAGTTTATGGAAATACATTTTTCCGACATGAATGAGATGAACGGAAAAGCAAGTAGAGCAATACAATCTGACAAACGGTACAATGCGCAGCTTTGGAGGCGATGGTGAGGCACGTGCATCTGTGAAACTAAGCCACATCTAAGCCACCGGGTGCGTCATCTGATCCACTGGTTCGCATCGCCCGCTCAGGCGACACTCTTCCACCTTGACATCTACTTCATCACGCCAAAAACCGCTGCTTATACTCATACCACAATTATTCGATACCCAAAACTAAAATCATGTGTGGCTCCGATTGTTTCCTGATGCTCCTCAGCGTCCTGGTACGTTTGCAGCTCCCGTACGGCGGAGGCAGGCACCGACTCTCTCTCTCTCTCTCTGCAGCTCGTGTCGCTTGATAGCTAACATAACCCACAGTTCCCACCGATAGGTGTCTGGGTGAAGAAGGGCATTTGTAGCGCCGATTCGCTCATAAACCTCGGCCTCTCGTGCCTAGGCTTCCTCCCCGGTCTCCTCCACGCCTGGTATGTGATTCTGCAGAATCCAGACCCATACGACGCATACCAGGCCGTGCCCGATCGCGAAAATGGAAGGACCGCCGACGGAAGGGTGACATACTATGTGATTTCGCACGAACAAGCGGGTGGCAGACCTGCGAACTATGGTACTGTGGCATCTCAGCCGAGCAATGGACAGTTCCCAGGACAGCAGAGCGGCGTGACAAACAGCTTTGCACCGCCACAAGGACACAAGAGCGCAAATGGCAGCGGACCTGCTGCGCCTGCGCCGGCAAATGGAGGTGGCGAGGGAAGCTCAAGTCAGCCCGAGGGTCCACCTCCGACATATGCAGATGCCGTCAAGGGCGACCACAAGATACAGGACCAGTAGGGTGAACAGGTGTTGCAGCATCGTGTTTCAAGAGACATGAAGCGTGCTAGCGCATAGAGGAACACGGGATGTGAACAGGGCGCTGAGATGGAACGGATAGTATTGTACACCTAGAGTATTGCTAGCAAAGACTTGTATGAAACGAATTAGCCATTGCATTGATCAAATAAGGCAAATATTTTCATCGTTTGCACCAAGTGTGTTGATAGTTTTAGCCTAGGACCCTTGCAACCGATATTCTGTTTCCGGATTGGGCTTGTACATCATGGCGCATATACCCGCACGAGCTACCTATTTATGTACATTCAGTTGCACCACGGGAAACACCAACAGTTTGTAGATAAATACATGAATGCATATGGATAGATGTATGGGTGTAAGATGATAGGCTAAATGGTAGGCGAGAGTGGTCCAAGGGACGGCGAATTAAACGTCACCTCGCCGTAGTCCAGCCACGTACGTAGGCGCGGCATCCCCTCGGCGACTGCAGGCAGCCAATACCACGAGGCCGGGCCGGCATATTTTGTGCTCTGAGCCCGCCGCGATCTATGGCTTTTGATTCGAATTGCCCGTTTGGGTAGGTGCGTTCAAAAAACAAAGAATATGTACGGGGAGGGGGGATTGTCAAGGAAGTTTTGGCAATGGAACGGGTTTGGAATTAAGGTTTCAAAAGGATAGAGGTAGTGGTGATCCTGGGGTAGTGCGGGCATGGGGCGGTGCGGGGGCGGTGCCCGTGTGCGTATGTAGGGTACACTACATTATGTGGGTTTTGGAATAACGTGTATTGGACTAGAGGCGGTCAAGTGGCACAGAGGGGTTGGAGAGAGAAGCTAGAGCTCAGTCTTTTTTAAAAGTTCATATCAATGTAAACGATACTATAGGATGCACCTCAGCACTCAGTAGAAGATGTTAGTTCTAACCGTAAACCGGTAGATGTGCGTTTCAAACCACTGGTCCAGACATAGTTTGGCAGTGTAAGAATAGGTTCAGGAAACAAACATGCTGCAGTTTGATGTTTGCAGCGAAGATCCTATTTGCGCCACTTCAGAGTTTCAGAGAATACACGAAGAGTCATAAACATAAGATTGGATAGAAACGGTGCATATTAATTGCATAGGATGTCCCTCGCCTATTGGTGGAACGTTGTTAGTGTAAGGAGGTGCATGTCCCGCTTCCCTCCTTTACTCAACATCGTGATGTGTTTGAATGATATTTCGAAGCCGCGTTGCGGTGAAGAAAAGCAAGCTTTTCCTAGGCTTATTGCAGGGTGGGTGTGTACAAACGAACTTGGGACGATGATGGCAGCGCACCATGTCACCGAGGAGCCAATTAAGCGTTTGGATCGTGCATAAGCGCCGCGCCCCTGCGTCATTGCCCAGACACACTGCAAGGCTTAAGGCGTAGCCAAGGGCAGCTTGGGATGGTCCTTGGAAGGCTTGAACATGATGACGCTGAGCTTCGCGCATTGCCTTCGACATTTGGCATAGTAACAAATAATTGTAGTCGGTACTCGCGCCAACTCGATTGCCGTTGTGCAACTTCGCCCGCGCTATCGGACACAGCCTCAGCAACTTCCCGCAAAATGACAGTCCGGCCGAATTGACCTGTGGCTAGAGCATTCATTCCACGCTCTTTATTCGCCAACTTTATACTTCAGCCACAACACTGACGCGAGTGGGCGTGCGCTGTCCTTCGCGTCAAAGCAGGGAAGCCTAGGGCCACTTATTATCTCTCCTTGGTCCCTTTCTCCCTTTCTCGTTTCCCTCCACCCACGTCTTGGTTTCGCAAACCCAAACACCACATCGACACTTGCTTTTCAACGCCTTCTCTGACCCGACCGATATAAAGACAGTACATCTGCATCCATGCGTAGGTGGAGCCCCGTGCCCGAACCATCGGCACAACCCCCCAGCACCACTCGAATTCCCACACTAACGCATAACGTGTTTTACAAGCGAGCGGGCCATACAAGCGAGCGGGCCACCCCACCAACTTTGCGCACC